CTTTTAATATTTTTATATATTTATATATATAAATTACTTTTTTTTTTTTAAATTTCAAATTGTAATTTTTTTTTTTTTTTTTTTTTTTTTTTTTTTTCTTTGTGTAAATTATATTACGTTAAATACTTTATTATTATTTTTTTTGATAACGCTTTTAACACTAATTTGTTGTGTACTAATTTGTTAAGCTGAGTAATAATTTGTTAAAATATTTTGTTCTTCTTTATCTTTCAAAATTTTACTTTCACATTTTTTTTTTTTTTTTATTTTTAAAATTATAATCAATAAAAACAAAATAAAAGACCTTTTATGTTTTAACATTTCTATATGTTAAATATTTTGATGACAAGATTTGAACATATAAAAATAAAAAATTGTTTATGTGAAAAACTTAAGCCGTTTTTTTAATTTGTTGTCTATATTTTCTGCCTATAAATGGACAAAAAAAAAAAAAAAAAAAAAAAAAAAAAAAAAAAAAAAAAAAAAAAAAAAAAAAAAAAAAAAAAAAAAAAATTTTTTTTTATCATTTTTGTTGTATGAATTTTGTTTATAGTTTTTATTTTTATAAAATCTATTTCTTTTTTAGTATAATTGTTATTTCCCATAAAATCTACTTTTTTAGGTTTTTCATTTATAGCAGTTGGTTATTTTATTATTTCGTGTTATTTAATTTTATTTTTTACTATTACTACTACTACTACTACTACTACTACTACTACTACTACTACTACTACTCCTACTACTACTATTTTTTTATTTTTTACTAACCAGCTGTATACATAGTTATAAACTGAGATTTGTATTTAGGGTTTCTAACTGCCTGCTTATAAAAAATATATTTTTCCAAATATTTCGGAATTCCTCTAGATCTTGGGGATGGATTTGATAAAACTTGTTTATGTCTTGGGTTAGCATTGCAATCAACTCCTAAATTAATTTATAAAAAAAAAAAATTTTAAATTGTTCGAAACTGTTGTTTTATATATACTTATAAAAAAAAAAAAAATTCTAACTCACTAAACATAAATACTTTTATTTCGTTATATGAATTACACTATTATTGCTTATGTATGTATTCATTTATCTTTGTTTTGTACAATTTTTTTAATACAACCGTATAAAACTATTACTGCTTACCTAGTAAAGGCACATGCCATTTACGAACAACATATCTACATGAATTACACAGTAAAGTTAAAACTCCTATAAAATTTGGAAATATTCATATGACTATATAAAAATTAAATTATAAAAATTAATATACATACATACATGCATCGAAGTGATAAAAAGACTATTTATAAATTCTAACTGATGATAAATATATGCATTTTAAAGTTATCACACATTCAAATATATTATACAATTATGTACAAATATATACATATATATATATATATATATAATGTAATACCTCTGTGCCACATTTTTGATTTGTTGATTTACTTGTTTCTTTTACATAATACGGCTAAATTTAATTAACTAAATAAAAAATGAACAATAACTAAATTGAGCTGACACTGCTAGTTAATACATATGTATACATTAAATTCATTTTATTTATAAAGATTAAAAAATATTTGAGGACGTTTTATTCATAAACATATATATATATATATTATTTATTTTTTTTTTTTTAACTTCTGGCACTACAAATTATTTGAAAGTTTTATTTTTTAAAAAATTTAAACACCTTTAATGTTTTCTTCGTGTGTTTTTTTTTTTTTTTTTCACAATTTTTTACATATCTATACATAATATATTATTTTATTGAAAATAAAACAAATAAATAAATGAAGCGATTATGGTGTTATCTCTTAAAGTTTTTTTTTTTTTTTTATTTTATTTTATTTTTTTTTTTTTATATATAAAAAATTTTGATTTTTTAAAAATACGTTGATGCTTTTATTTACTCACGACCTTTCGTAATACCCTTAAAAACTATTAGTGATGTATTTTAGCAAACTCATTTGTACATGGATCGTTTTTTTTTTTTATTTTTTTAATATTTTTTCCTATTTTTTTTTTTTTTTTTTAACTATACCATCGAATTAGCATATATAAACACACATAATAAGCAAGTATTTATATAAATATGTTTAAAACCGTTTAAATGATGTCATGTTTTATTATTATGTTTTAACGATTTGTTTTACTACGAATTGTTATAAACATAAGTATATATTTACCCGGGAAATTACCAACATAATGATATGTTACGATATTAATTATATATATATATATTTTACATTCTGTAACAACTAAGCTTATTATGAGTTTACTGTTTTTTTTTTTTTTTTTTTTTTTTTTTGTATACGTATTTATCATTATTTTTTTTTTTTATTCATTTATAATTCGACTAGAGTTACTGCTAAAAAATAAATAACAAAACAGTTATTTTTTAAACAGTAGTAACTTTGTAAATTATTTTTGTTTGCTTGCTTTTTTTTTTTAATATATCTATTACCCGTTTATAAATATAACAATGATTGAAGACCCTATAGATAAAAATAATATTTACTTAAACCCGTAGGATATTTATTTTTACTTGCAATAGTTTTTTTTTTTTTTTTTTTTATATATAAACATGTTCATGTGTCCATATATTCATATGTCCATATATTCATATGTCCATATATTCATATGTCCATATATTCATATGTCCATACATTCATATGTCTATATATTAATGTATGCCCGTGTTTATATTAGTTTATACAAACATATCACAAATATGTGCATATACACTTATATATATTATTAGAACCACATGAACTAATTTTAATTTTCCTAACTATATTCTTTATATCTGATGATACCATTTAACCTACTTTTATTATTTCTTTTTTTAAGAAAAAACTGGTTGAAAGAACTGGAATATACCAAGATACATGATCAGGATATAAATGAAGTGTTGATGAACTTCTTTTGTGTTCATCGAATGTATGATGTTGCAAAAGAATTTCAAAAAGAGGCAAATGTGAAACGTAATTTTTTTTATAAATATAACAAAAAAAAAAAAAAAAAAAAAAAAAAAAAAAAAAAAAAAAAAAAAAAATGATGATGGTTTTAAGGCGCAAATAAAAAATTCTAACTATTATGTAGAATGATGATAATTGGTTGTCATCCTTGAACTGATTTTTTTTTTTTTTTTTTTTTTTTTTAATTACATTCGTTAATAAAAACATAATATATGTATATGTAATAATGCAAAAATAGAAATATACTCTGAATGTTATTTTACTAAACAACTATGTAATGAAAATAAAAAACGAATAAATTTTATTTTTTTTCTTGCTTTTCTTTTTTTAGCTGATATGCCAATTGAAACAATAAAAATACGCCATTTGATTCAAACTGAGATATTAAATAATAATATTGAAAATGCTATAGAGCATATTAAAAATTTAGATCAAGGGGTAAACAGAAAAATTCAAATGCATTTATTATTTTATTAATTTGTTTTTATTATTATTACCTTGTTTTCACTTAATATTGCGTTATTAACTTATATATATATATATATATATATATATATATGTCCCCGATTCTTTTGGTTTTTTTTTTTTTTTTTTTTACCATTTTCAGATTTTAAAAAAGCATAAGGACATAATTTTCTATCTAAAAAAACAGCAATTATTAAAATTGATTCTAAATGTTAATAAAAAAAAAATAAAAAAAAATAAAAAAATCATTTCCTATTTACAGATAGATATTTTTAAGAAAACATATATTTTTACATTATATTATATACATATGTACAATATATATTTTTCTTTATTATTTCAGAGTAACATCAATGAAGCTATATTATATTCACAACAAGAATTAGCCCCTCATATAAATGAAAAGGTTGTTAATTTATTTATTTTATTTTTTTTTTTTTAGTTCATTAATTTACGTACATGTGTACATGTATGGAAGTATTTATACAATTATATATATAATGTCCTAAAGCAACTGGTTATTGTTTTTTTTTTTTTTTATATCCTAATAGTTTTTAATAATATTTTATTATAATTTATTTTAAAATTTTTTATATTTAAAAAAAAACCTTTTATTTTTTATTTTTTTTACAGCCGTATCTTCTTAGCGAAATAGATGATATTATGCTGCTAATGGCTTTTCAAGATTTTAATGTAATTTTTGTTCGTTTGTTCGTTTATTCGTTGGTTCGCCCGTTTTTTTGTTTTAGTATAATTATCATTATAATTGTTAAATGTTTATTTAATTTTTATATTAAATATTTGTAGAACGATGAAGCAAAAAAAATAATCCAAAAAGTAGAAAAAAAAAAAAACACGCTAAAACGCATTGATGATATAATTTTGAATTATTACAACATTGACAGTGGTATGAAAAAAAAGTAAAACCAACAAAATAATTGCTGTCTTTACTACTATTTCTTCCATAATATATATATATATATATATATATACATGAATATATATATTTTTTTTTTATAGAAAGTACACTTGAATATATTGTTAAAAATGTGCTTTTTACCCAAAATTTGTTAAGCGAGAAGGTATAAAAGTAGCGCGTTTTTTATATTTTTTTTTTTTTTGCTTTATATGTCTATAAACATATATTTCATATATTACATATATGAAATATGTATATTATATACATATGAAATATATATATTATACATATGAAATATATATATGTATATATTGTATATATGTACATGCATATACACACATCTATTTGTTGGTTACTCTACACTTCTTCTAACAGTACCCCTGCAGCATACCCAAGTTGAAAAACTTGAAAACTGGCTATATAGAATATTATGAAAAGAGCAGGACCAAAAAAAAATTACATTCTAAAAAAAAAAATAAAGATAATAAGAACAAATTAAGTGAAAATAATTTTGATGACAAATCACCTGAAGAAACCTCAAAAGATATGGGTATAAGTTATGATGAAGAATATCGCTCTGTTTGATTTAGCAACCGATGTCATGTATTATATATATACATATACATATATATATTATTTACTAATTTAAACTTTCACAGTTTTTGCAATTCTCTATTTTTTTTTTTTTTTTTTATACTTTTTATTTTATCAATTTTTTTAACATTTTTTATGTAAAAGTGAGTAATGTTTTTATACATGTCACAACTGTTTTTGTTAACCGACCAATCACTCGAGTATTTTTTTTTTTTTGCATATGGTAAAAACATTTGACTAGATATATACAAATATATATATATATATATATATAGTACTAATTAATTGCTAATAAAGCAGTATATTAAAAAAAAAAAAAAAAAAGCAAGAATTTTTTTTCCCAATATTAACAACCAAAAAAAAAAAAAAAAAATTTTAAAAAAAAACTTAAAAAGTATGTTTTAATTGTTAGTTCATTTTTTATAAATATAAAAATAAAACATGTTTTAAAGGCATGCACATGATTTTATTTTATTTTTTTAAACTTTTATTTATACTTAAAAAAAAAAAAAAAAAATCGCAATATATGGTTACGTAACATAACTTATAAAATTATATAAATAATAAAACATGGTGAAAGTTAATGTAGAAGAGGTAATAAAAAAGAGAGTGTAGAATATTGAAAGAAAAAGGAAAATTTCATCAAATGTAAAATATGCAAATACAAAAGAAATGTCTTTAAATAAACTTTTATATTTATAATAAAATTTTTTACTTATTGTAAAATTAAAATATATATTAACCCAATACTTAAATGTGTTAAATATATGTATACAATATAGTAGAATGATATAATTTGTAACATATAAAATAATTTTTTTTAGTTTTTTATTTTTTACTTTAAGTAAAAATGTATATAATAAAAGTGCACTTATCATGACAATTGTAAACGTGTTTATAACTATATAATAAACTTGTTTTAATTGAATTTCTAATATAAAATGAAAAATATAAAATATATAATATAAAACAAATAAAAAATTTATAAAAAATTTTATTTTATCTTTTTTACTTAGCAATTGTTTTATTTTATAATCTTCAATTTTAGCTCTTTTTTTTTTAAGATTATAATTATTATCATTTATACCAATTTTATCTTTAAATGCTTTATCGTTTGAATGTAGATTATCTATATCATTATAAAATTTTTTATTTATTTCAATACTTACTTTTTTTCTTATTTTATATTCATTATATGACCGTTCAGTGACATTGTCTTTATCAACATTTTGATCTATCAGTTTCTCCATATTTTGGTCAACTTGTTTGTTCACGTTTTTATCTGTAACATTTTTGTTTTCATTATTATTTGATACCCCATCAACATAATTATTTTGTAATACTTCATTTGGATTAGTATTATCTTGTTTTTTTTTTTTTTTATTAGTTTCTTTTTTATTACTTTCATTTTCTTTTTTTTTTTCATTTCCACTTTTTTCTTTCACTTCTTTAATATTAAAATTTTCATGTGCTTCATTTTTTTCACCTTTTTCAGTTTTTCTTTTTTGTATATTACCCTTTTTGTACTTTTCAACAACCTTATCATAATCACCATAAAGTTTATCCATTTAAAAAAAAAATTTATGGGCTTTTGTTTTATTTATTTTATTTTTTTTTTAGACAATACTTTTACAGTTTACCTAACGTTCTTCTGTTATACCTCTTTTTTTTTTTTATTTATATTTCACACGACTTTTTACATTTACCATTTCGCTGGATATATATATATCTATATATATATATATATAAATATATACCAAACAGAAAAAAAAAACAGATTAGAAAAAAGAAAATAAAAGTACATTAATTTAAAAAAACATTTTTTTCATATAAATTAGTTTTAAAATATACATAAAAAAAAAGCACTTAATAATATAAAAAAAGTAAAAAAAATATCGCACTACATGTTATATGTAGTTTACAAAATAGAAGTTAGTAGTATAGTAGTTTCTTCTTGAATATGATAAAAGTAATTTATATGAGGTCATATGAAAAATATATGAGTATATATACATATATATATGCATGTCCTCAAATAGACAACCTTTTTCATGAATTTTATCACTAATTTAAAAATAAAAGACTGAAAAAAAAATAAATAAAGCACATAAATGCTAATAAGTATTATATTTTATATAGATCATAACATTTGAATTAAAAAAATTAGAAAAAGGGAAGGAATGATTCAACAAATATAAAACTTGTCTTTTTTTTTTTTTTTTTTTTTTTTTTTTTTTTTTTTTTTTTTTTTTTTATTCATCTTTGTTATCCATTATTTGCGGTAAACAGACTCCCTATGATAAAATGAAAAAAAAAAAAAATAAATAAAAAAGAATTGGGAAAATAAAAGTTATTAAGTAGAGTATGTTTAAATATATTTGAGAGTACGTTAAATTACATCTCAGTATTGCATATATTGTATGTATGTATGTATTGGAACACAATTAGGATAGATAAGTCTATTATTTTTATATTAAATAGGTACTTATCATTTTCAGATTTTTTTTAAACTTTTTTTTTTTTTTTTAAGACATTTTATTAAAAACATTTTATTAAAAACATTTTACTAGACACATTTTACTAGACATATTTTACTAAACACATTTTACTAAACACATTTTACTAAACACATTTTACTAAACACATTTTCATGTTTTATCGTTAATAAAGTTTTATTTTTTTTTTCTATTTATTTTTGCTTTTCTTATTTACATATTTCCCTTACCCCTGCTTTTGACTTCCATAAATTTTTCCTTACATTATTTAGGTCTATTTTATAATTTGCATCATTATGTGCTTGTTTCTCTATAACAACATCGTTTTCATCCGACGTGCTTTCATATCTATATAAAAAACAAACAAAAAAAAGAAAAAAAAAAATTTTTTTAAAAAATGAAAAAAAAAAAGAAAAACGAAAGAAAATATAGTGTTAATATAAATAAAATATAACATAAATAAAAATAGTAACATATATTACTTAATTTGTATTATTGGACACCATTTTATTATTAAAAAGCATTTTAATTTTAAAAATGTTACGTATATATGAATATTTTTACTTGTCGTGTGTCCATCTTCTATTTGATTCATCTCTTCCATAGTTATTTTTTCTATTATTAAAACGAAATTTGTTTAAAAGGGGTTACAAAAAATATTTATACACTCGCAATATATATATATATATATATA